ACACATTGAGACTCTGAAGCTCTGCCTGCCTACCTGGCCCTGCGCGTGGAACTGGAAGCATTTCCAAGAATGCCACCATAGAGGTCCTGGATTTCAGTCTCTTTTTTAGCAACCTAAATTTGGCCTCCAGGACGTCCCTCCTACCCTTCCCTACGTCATTGGTACCTACATGTACCACTGGCTCCTCCCCAGCACTACACGTAAGTCTATCTAGATACCTCGAGAGATCCGCAACCTTTGCACCAGGCAGGCAAGTAACCATACAGTTCTCTCGGTCATCACAAACCCAACTATCTATGTTTCTAACAATTGAATCACCCACTACTAAAACTTGCCTCTTCCTAACAACTGGCGATCCGTCCCCTTCAGAGGTATCCTCAGCGCGAGAGGATACCGCAACATCCTTTGGAAGGAGGGTCCCAACTACGGGATGGTTTCTGTCTGCTCCCATTGAATGCTCTGTTCCCTTGAGACTTTCATCCTCCTTAAGAGCACTGGGGCTCTTAGACTAGAGGTGGGACAGTACGACAGTGTCCCGGAAAGTACGACAGTGTCCCGGAAAGTCTCCTCAGCATAGCTCTCTGACTCCCTTAGCTCCTCCAGTTCAGCCACTCTGGCCTCCAAAGCCCAAACTTGGTCTCTGAGGCTCAGGAGCTCCTTACAGCAGGTGCACACATATGCCACCCGCCCACAGGGCAGGTAATCATACATGTTATACTCAACGCAATAAACAGGATATCCCCCACTCTGCTGCTGGGCTTCTGTCTCCATTTTTCATATGAAAAACTTTAATTATAAACTGAGCTTCCTTTTAAATGTCTGGAATATAGATTATTATAAAAGTTATGTTTAAAGAAGGTCAGAAGTTACTAGTGCCCTCTAACCTCCCCCTCTTAACTCCCTCTCAAAACTCCCTGTTTGCAAGCTCCCTGGTCACTGACTTACAGCTTTATAAAACCATCACACTGCCAAAATGTTAGGTGCCTAGAAAATTACTGGACCAGCACTGTGATCTACAGAGCCCCAGTTAGGTGCTTCTACAATGCATCTAGGGCCGTAGTCACCATCCAGTCGATCACGATCGACGGGTCAATCCTGAGGCCTTGACCAGTCGATCACGAGGAGATCTGGGCCCCTCATTTCCCCCCCAGTCCCAAGAAGCCCCACTACCTACCTCCAGCGACAATGGAAATAGTGGCAGCTTCCATTGGAATGGAAGTTGGATGGATGGAAGTTCTGCAGCTGCAGGTCACTTTTGGGGGTTCCGGAAATGCGCTAGCTGCTTCCTTGCCCCAGGTCTGTGTTGTGACGGGAACTTACCGGGTGAGTCCCAAGAGGAGCACGCTGGGACTTCCCTTCTCTGGGAGGGGGGGATCCTGAGAGGAGGCGGGTGCAGGGGACTCACTGCCCCCCTCTTCCCCCGGCACCCTGCCCCCTGCTGCAGAACCCTGTCCCCTGTGCCTCCCGGCACCCTGTTCCCTCTCCCCTGCCCCCAGCTACAGAACCCTGCCTCCACTGGTACCCTTCCCCAGTACCATGTCCCCTGCTCCCACCAGCACAGTTGGGGCCACATTAGTGAGGCCTGGGAGTTTTGGATGGGTTTTTCTTTTGCATATCATTTGTGTGGCCCTGACTGACTTTTCTGTGGGTCAGTGACCCCTGACTCAAAACAGGTTCCCCACCCCTCTCATAAATAAAGATGCTGCTGAAACATTTTGTGTTTGACATAATATTTTATTTAAAAATGAAGCCTGGCCAACAAGCCCCCAATTGGGGCCACGTCCCCATCTGGCTGCAGCATCATAACACTCCTGCCCCCCCCCCAACTCCAAACCAGCGCCTATCATAACCTG